CATTTTTTCGTTCTTTTTCATTTCTTTCATGATTTTTTCTTTCCTTTTTATTTTTTATCCTCTTATTTTCGTCTTTAGACCGAGTAATGAGTCTTGCTTCCTCCTTTAAAAAAAATATGAGGAAATGGCGTCGCGTTTGAGTTTTTATGCGACGCCCACGTGTCACGTGTTTCGTTTCTTTTCCTTTACTTGTTTCTTCTTGTTTTTTCGTTTATTTTTATCTTTTATTTTCATTTTCTTTCTCTCTTCTTTTTTCTTTTTTCGTTTATTTTTATATTTTATTTTCATTTTATTTTATGTTTTATTTTCCTTTCTTATTCTTTTCCTTCTTCATTTTTCTTTTCTTTCTTGTTTTTCTTTTCTTGTTCTTTCTCATTTCTTTTATTTTATTTTTCGTTTCCTTCTTCCTTTTTCTTGTCTTTTTCTTTTCTTTCTTGTTTTATTTAATTTTATTTTTTTTTCTTTTCTTAGCCTTTTCTTTTTCTTCCTTTTTCTTTTCTTTTTCTCCCTTTTTTCCTTTTTTCTCCTTTTTTCTTTTTTTCTATTTTTTTTCTTTTCTTTTTCTCCTTTTTTTCTTTCTCTTTTTTCGTTTCTTTTTTCTCCTTTTTTTTCTTTTTTTCTTTTTTTTCTTTTCTTTTTCTCCTTGTTCTTTTTCTGTTCATTCTCCTCTTTTCTTTCTCTTTTTTATTTTCTTTCTTTTCGTTTCCTTTCTTTCGTTTTGCTTTTCGTTTCTTTTCTTTCTTTCTTACTTTTTTCTGTTCTTTTCTTTCGCCTTTTTTCTCGTTTTTTTTTTTTTTCAAGAAATGAGGATATGGCGTGGGGCTTAATTTTTTTTTTTTTTTTTTTTTTTTTTTTTTTTTTTTTTTTTTTTTTTTATCAAACCCACGTATCACATGTTTCTAAAGTATTAGTACGTGTTTTTTGGAATTTTCTTTCTTTCTTTCTTATTTTTCTTTTTTCTTTGTTTTTCTCTTCTTTCATGATTTTTTCTTTCCTTTTTCTATTTTTTATCCTCTTATTTTCGTCTTTAGACCGAGTAATGAGTCTTGCTTCCTCCTTTAAAAAAAAATATGAGGAAGTGGCGTCGCGTTTGAGTTTTTATGCGACGCCCACGTGTCACGTGTTTCGTTTCTTTTCCTTTACTTCTTTCTTCTTGTTTATTTCGTTTATTTTTATATTTTATTTTCATTTTCTTTCCCTTTTCTTTTTTGTTTTATTTTCCTTTCTTCTTCTTTTCCTTCTTCATTTTTCTTTTCTTTCTTGTTTTATTTTATTTTATTTTTATTTTCTTTGCCTTTTCTTTTTCTTTCTTTCCTTTTTATTTTTATTTTCCTTTTTTCTTTTCATGTCTTTCTCCTTATTTCTTTTCTGTGCTTTCTCCTTTTTTCTTTTCTTTTCATTCTTTTGTTTTTTATCTTGTTCTTGTTATTTTTTGTATTTCATGAATGTCGTCTTATCGTTGTTGTTCTCATTCTTGTTTTTTTCTGTTCTTTTTTCTTTTTTTCTTTTCTTTCTTCTTTTTCTCTTCGATTTCCGCTTTGTTTTTGTTGTTCTTTTTCTTCTTTATTTTCCTCGTCTTCTTTGTCATTATTGCTAGTGTTTTCTTGATTTGTTTTCTTTCTTTTTTTTTCTTTTCGGCTTCTTTTTCTTTTCTCGTTTCTTTTATTTCTTGTTTTTTCTTTCCTTTTTTTTCTTCCATTTTCTTGTTTTATTTTTTATTTTATTTTTATTCTATTTTCTTTCTTTTTACTTTTTTCTTTTCTTTTCTTTCTCCCTTTTTCTTTTCTTTCTCCTTTTTTTTTCTTTCTCCTTTTTCTTTTCTTTCTTTTTTTCTTTTCCTTTTCCTTTTTTCTTTTCGTTTCTTTCTCCTTTTTTCTTGTCGTTTATTTTCTTTCTCCTTGTTTTCTTCTTTTTCTTTTCTTTCTCCTTGTTTTCTTCTTTTTCTTTTTTTTTCTTTCTTGTTTTTTCTTTCCTTCTTTTCTTTCTTTCTCCTTTTCTTTTCCTTTTCGTTTCTTTCCTTTCTTTCTCGTTTTTTCTTTTCTTTCATTTTTCTTTGTCCAGCTCGGGGCTCGAACGCACGACCGGCGCACTGGGAGGCGAGAGAGGACCCCCGGAGCCACTTTTGGAATTGGGAGAGAGAGGGAGAGGGTTGAGTGGAAAGGGGGACGAGAGGAAGAGGAGGAGAGGCAAAGGGAGAGGTAGAGGAGGAAAGGGGAAAGGGAGAGGAAGAGGGTTGAACGGAAAGAGGAACGAGAGGGAGAGGGAGGAGGAGAGGGAGAGAGAGTGTAAGAGGGAACGAGAGGGAGAGGGAGTGGACGGAGGAGAGTGAGAGGGCGATGCAGTGAGGGAAAGAGAGAAAAAAAAAGAGTAGAAGGGGAACGTAAAGAAGGATAGAGAGGAAAGGAGAAAGAAAACGGGAATGGGAGAAAGAAAAAAAGACGAAGAGGGAAAAATATAACAAAATAAGTACAGAGAACCAGATTATCATCATTATCATTTAAACCATCCGAACAAACATTAACTTATATTACATTAACCAACTAACTTAAATTACATTAACCAATTAACTTAAATTACATTAACCAATTAACTTAAATAACATTAACCAATTAACTTAAATTACATTAACCAATTAACTTAAATAACATTAACCAATTAACTTAAATTACATTAACCAATTAACTTAAATACATTAACCAATTAACTTAAATTACATTAACCAATTAACTTAAATTACATTAACCAATTAACTTAAATTACATTAACCAATTAACTTAAATTACATTAACCAATTAACTTAAATTAACTTAAAATTACATTAACCAATTAAAACTTTAATAATTACCTAACCAATTACTAACCCAATATATTAACCAATTAACTTAAATTATATTAACCAATTAACTTATATTACATTAACTTACATTAACAAGCCATCTACCACTCCATTCAAACTTTTCAAAGAGCAATAGAGAGAAGAAATAAGAAAATAGAAATAAAAGGCATATTCAGATAACCAGGAAAGGAGCAGGAAATGGAACCGAAGGAGTTCAATTTTTCGCTCCAGGCTTCGTGACTTTGTCTCCTCCGCGAGGATGCCACCTTAACCTCCTCGCCCACAGGAGAGGATGTGCGCGTCCTTACCTCAATCGCCGCTTGAGCTCTCCTCCTCCTCCCCTTCCTCCTCCCTGCCTCTACTCTTGTGTTCCTCCTCCCCCTCCTCCTCCATGCTGCTGCTCCTCCTCCTTACTCCTTCGTCCTTCCTTCTCCCTTCTTCTCCCTTCTTATTCCCTGCTCCTTACCCCTCCCTCCTTCCTGCTCCTTCATTCTCCCTCTTCCTTCCTCTTTATCCCTCCTCCTTCATCCTCCCTCTTCCTTCCTCTTTATCCCTCCTTCATCCTTCTTTCCCCTTCCTCTCCCCTTCCTCCTTCCCTCCCTCTCCCCCCTCCTTTCTCTTTCTCCCCCCTCCTTCCTCCCCTCCTACCTCTTCCTCCCCCCTCCTTCCTCCTCCTCCCTCTTCCTCCTCCTCATTCTTCCTCCCTTCCTACTTTCTCCCTCTTCCTCTCTCCTCCCTCCTTCCTCCTTCCCTGCTTGTGCGTGCGAAATAAGATAGGAAATCCTTTGTGTTTGTCGAGTCGCAGGAGGATTTGGGGGGGGATCTTCCTGCGGGAGGATCTGATCGAAGGTCTTTGTAGGTCAACGAGGGAGAGGAATCAAGGGAGGAGAAGGAATAATTTTCTCGGGGCCTGGAGTTTGGTGGAGAGGGAAAGGGAGGGAGGGAGGGAGGGAGGATGTTCGGGTGTTGTGTTTTCGTTGTTTGTGTTGTCTTGTTCGTGTTTTCTGTTTGTGTTTCTTTTCGGGTGTCTTGTTTGGTGTTATTTGTTCTGTGTTGTCTTGTTTGGGTTGTCTTGTGTGTTGTCTTGTTTGTGTTCTAGTTCTGTTGTCTTGTTTGTGTTCTAGTTCTGTTGTCTTGTTTATGTTATCTTGTTTTTGTTGTTTTGTTTGTGTTATCTTGTCTTGTTTGTCTTATCTTGTTCGGTTTGTCTTTGTGTTATCTTGTTCGGGTTGTCTTGTGTGTTGTCTTGTTTGTGTTCTAGTTCTGTTGTCTTGTTTATGTTATCTTGTTTTTGTTGTCTTGTTCGTGTTGTTCTTGTTGTCTTGTTTGTGTTATCTTGTCCTCGTTACATTATTGTGTCAGTTTTACCCCCATTCATTGTTATCTTGTTCACCTTATCCTGTCCGTGTTCACGTTGTTTTGTTCGTGTTATCGTGTTCATGTGTTCTAGTTTGTGTTGTTGTGTTATCCTGTTCATCTTATCCTATTTGTGTTGTCTTGTTCGTTATCCTATTCGTACTATTCCCTTGATATTATTATCCTGTGAGTGTTATTATCTTCATGACACCTAACTCTCTCTCCTGCTCCCCCTCTTGATGCTCCTCCTTCTCCTCCTTCTCCTCCTTCTCTTCATCTTGCTGCTCCTCCTTTCTCCCTTTTTTCTCCTCGATTTCTCCTCTTCCTTCTTCTTCTTCTCATGTTATGCCTCTTCTTGTCATTCTCTTTCGTGTTATGTCATCATTGTCACGTTGTCCTCTTCGTGGAGAAAATTAATGAAAATAAATAACACTCTACGCTTTTCGATGAATTCTGCCGAAGGGTTCATGGAAGAGCGACTATTGCATCTCTTCCCTCGTGTCTGACATATTTATTATGTTATGTACGTCTGTGATAAATAATTCTTTCTGACATATTCGAGTATTTTTTTTTCTTTCTTGTTATCCTGCTTGAGGCGTCCTTTTCGTGGTAATCTTGTTTTGTGTTGTTCCTTTTTTCGCTATCTGGTACGTGTTATCTTGGTCATGTTATTCTGATCGTTTCATCTTGGTCATTTTATCCTCTTCGTTTCATCTCGTTTGTGTTATCCTGTATCCGTTATCCTTTCACATTATCCCATCCGTTTTTTTCCCATCCCACTCAACCTTAACCCACTCTCTCCCTTCAGTGTCGATATCCCGCCAGTTGTCGTCACGAGGGGAGGGAACAAGCCGACTTTCCCCGTTGCAGCCTATCATCGAGAGGCAAGCTGGCGTTGCAGAGGCAGCCGACGGGAAATATCTGGTGCATGTAGCTCGTCACTGAACTGGAAAACCTCCCACACGCTGTCCAGTTCAAAGCAGGCAGTTTGCAATGGCGATGGAGCATACTCATGTAACAGTTCAGATTATTTTTGTCGTCTTTTTTTGTGGGACTATCTCTGCGTCACTTGCTTAGTGTTCTGTGTGACGTTTCCATATTCTCGCTATACGATCTTTGTTGCCTTTCTGTGTGTGTCATGATGAATATTTTGTGTTTCTTATATTTTCTATCTTGTGTATACTGTGGGCTTATTTCGTGAATGGTATGATGTATGTTCTAAATAACTCGTTCGTCTGGAATATCCTAAATGGACGGTTTTGTGTTTAATTACCCGTGTATGCACCTGTCACACTATGCTTTAGCCCAATGTTTACAAGACGAGGCAGATAATAAATAAAAGAAAGTTTGGATAAAAAAAAATAAGTACTGCTAATTAGAGCAGACTGTAATGCAATCGATAAAGACACTAACTTCCTACATGAGACCTTCAAACTTTTTTAATTGGTGAGAGGTTCAAGGACCAAGGATACATTTTTTCTTTCTTTCTTTTTTTATGAATACTTGTATGTGTGCTCGAATATATTTTCTTTTTGAAGGACGGCATATTTTTGGATTCTATTAAAAAGATATTGATAAATCCGCTTAGAATGAGCAATGGAGGTTTTCTCATGTTCGGATCAAATTAATAATTAGGCTTCGATTCGAAAAAAGTTACTGCTTCCTACTCGCTCTCTGCCACATTTACTTCCTGGTCCTTCCTACCTCGTGCTTTCTGCTTCTATCTACCTCTTCCAGCCTCCTCTCTTAATGCATTGGCAAAAAAACTTGTAATATTGTTATTTTTAGATTTAGTTCATAAAAATGTTAATAATACTTACAGTCTGAATCAGATGCTGAATCCTCATTATAATTCAAGACTTCAGTCCTACCAAATACAAGTAAAAGATGAATGACAGTAGATAAATATAATCGATAAATAGTAAAAAATGAGGGTAAGAGATAAATAAATAAATAAAACATTTTTCATATCAACCGGGACATTGGGAAGACAACCTTTCACCAGGAGGGGAATTTAAGACAGCAGCGGAAGCCAGTCAAGCCGAAAGACACTCTTCTTCTCGGGACTTTCTATTCCTCCGCAGCCATACAAAGGTGACAAGGCACTTAGCGAGGCGGTTAAGTTTACGGGTCTGTTTATCTTTCGTCTGTTCTCTTTTGGCTGTTCTCTTTTGGCTCTCTTCCAGGGTTCTCGTCTCCTGGGTGCCCGCTTTCCTTCGCCTGTCTCCTGCTGTTTCCTCTTACTTCCTGTTTGGCCGAAATTCTTCCTTTTTTTTTTTTTTTTTTTGTTGTATTCCTCCTCTGTTGTTTCATCTTATCTCTCTTATCCTCCTCTCTTTCCCCTTTTTCTTCCTGCCTCCTTCTTGCACCCTGTTGCTTTACTTCCTAATTCCTCCAGCTTCCGCCTGCCTCTCTTCTCTCTCTTCCTCCTTCCTCCTCCTCCTCTCCCTCTTCTTCTCCTCCTCTCCCCTCCTTCCTCGTCTCCTCCTCCTCCTCTCCTCGTCTTGCCTCCTCTTCCTCTCCCTCTTGCTACTTCTCTCCTTCTCTTGCTTCCTTTCTGCTTCCTGCTCCTGCGACCACCACCTCCTACCTCCTACCACGTCTTCCTCCTCCTACATCCTCTCCTTCAGGCGTGGGAGAAACCCTCTCTAGCAAGGCAGCTTCGGAGACTTTATGATCGAGCCAAGTCGTGGCATTGGCCGTGTTCCTTTTACTTCGTCCGGCATTTCTCTCTCCGAAGGACGTCGAGACAAGGGAGGATGAGGGGCCGAGTCTCGTGAGTTTGTGTGCTGGAAGGGTGTCGTCTTAAGGAGCTGATGTGTTTTATTATTTAATATTATTAGTTTTTTTTTTTTGAGGAGTTTTGTTTTTTGTTTTTTTGAGGGGCGGAGTCTCATGAGTTTGTGTAGTCTAAGGACATCGTCTTAAGGCGGTGAAGTTTTTTTTTTGAGGGGCCGAAGCTCGTGAGTTTGTGTGGTCTTAAGGAGCAGAAGTGTTTTATTTTGTTATTTCTTCAGCTTGAGCAGCCAAAGAGGAAGATCTTAAAAAGAGAGAAATTGTGAGAGAGAATTCAGTGACAGGATGTTCATATGATCGACGGTGGGCTCAATCTTGGGTTGTGTTCAAAAGAGATGAACGCCGTGAATTTCGTGTTGCTTCATCGAGGAGGCGTGATATCTCATTCTCGAAAATATAAGGAATTTAAGATGTCATGTCACGGATTTGTTTCACTTCGAAATAGAAGGTAAGATGTCGTCATCTTTTTTTCACTCGCTCGAAATATAGAAGGAATTTAAGATGTCATGTCATGGATTTTTTTTCTCGATTTCTTGGCGCCGTGAACCCCATGTGTGCCGTACATCTCTTTTTGAACATCCATGAGGCGGTGTGTGTGGACTCCTGACCTCAAGATCGAACCGTGGATTATATGAACAGGTAGATTGAGGTAGATTGTTTGTTTTTGTGTGTTTTTGTTAGCTCGAGATTGTTTAGTTTAAGAGTATCATCTTAAAGAGTGAATATTTTTTTATATCTAGATTTTAAGAATCAAAAGAATACCTTTTTTAAGACTGAACTTTTTTTTTATTGCGTAATCTGCTGAGATATTTTTTCTCTCGGTTTCCATAGTCAGAGGAGTATCGTCTTGAGCTTGTTTGGTCAGAGTCTCGTCTTAATAAGTGGATTTATTGTTGTTTGCGTTGTTGTTAGATGTCCTACGGGTGTTTGGTGTGTCATCAAAGGGTTATTTTGAATCTTATTGCTATGTTTTTTATCTCTTAAGATTGTATAGTCCGAGAGCATCGTCTTCACGAGTTGAATTGCTGGTTTGTTTGTTATTTTGTTTTTAAAAAAATCAAGATCTTGTTCCATTTCTTGATCAATTCACAGAGGGATATTTTTTTGGTATCGTTTGTTTCCCTTTTAGTGAGGAATCTTAATCTTTTTGAGTGAGGTGTGTTTTATTTTTTTGTAAAGATTTGTTTGAAAATAATAATAATGATGAATGTGATGAAAGATTTAGTTATTTAATATGCGGATATTTTTCATAGTAGTATTAGTTATTAGTTAAGAAATACCACCTCCTTACAGTAATATCAAAGGGAAGATCACACATATAGTTAGAGATAAAAGAAGACTCAACAGCACTTCATGAAACACGTTCCCTTGCCCTTTTTTTTTTTTTTTTTTTTTTTTTTTTTTTTTTTTTTTTTTTTTTTTTTTTTTTTTTTGTTTTTTTTTTGCTCCCATTAACGCCACGTTTTATTATTATTATTATCACAAGATCTTGTTCAATTTCTTAATAAATTCGCAAATGAATGTTTTTTTTTGTTTCGTTATTTCCCTTTGAGTGAGGAATCTTAATCTTCTGGAGTGAGGTGTGTTTGTTTGATAATGATAATGATGATGATTGAATTGAAATGAAAAAAATCGGTATTTTTTATGATGATATTTTCATAGTAGTAGTATTTTTAGTCAAAGATACCACCTCCTTATAGCAATATCAAAGGAAGATCACACATATAGTTAGAGATAAAAGAAGACTCAACAGCACCTCATAAAATACGTTCCTTTGCCCGAGCTCCCTTGCCCATTAAAACATCTTTCAGTTTGCTCCCATTAACGCCACGAGAGCATCGTCTTCACGAGTTGAATCGCTTTTTTTTTTTCTCTCTCTCTTGTTTTTGGTTTTTAGTTTGTTTGTTTTTTTTTTCGTTTTTTTGTTTTTTATTATCTCAAGATATTTCTAAATTTCTTGAAAAATACGCAGAGGAATATTTTTCAGTTTCGTTATTTCGCTTTTAGTGAGGAATCCTAATCTTCTAGAGTGAGGTGTATTTTACAATTTTTTAAGATTTGCTTGAAAATGATAATGATGATGAATATGAGATGAAGGATTTAGCTATTTAATATGATGATATTTTCCATAGTAGTATTAGTTTTTAGTTAAAAATAGCACCAAATTACTGTAATATCAAAGGAAGATCATCACACATAATTGGAGACAAAAGAAGACTCAACAGCACCTCATAAAACACGTTCCCTTGTCCGAGCTTCCCTGACCATTAAAAAGTCTTTTAGTTTGCTTCCATTAACGCCACGTTTTTTATCTCTTAAGATTGTATAGTCCGAGAGCATCGTCTTAACGCGTTGAATTGCTTTTTTTTTAATTATTATCTCAAGATCTTGCTCAATTTCTTGATAAATTCGCAGAGAAATATCTTTTTTTAGTTTCGTTATTTCCCCTTTAGTGACGAATCTTAAATCTTCTAGATTGAGGTGTGTTTTACATTTTTTTTAGATTTGCCTGAAAATGATAATGATGACTGAATAGAAATGAAAAATTTAACTATTTAATATGATATTTTCCATAGTAGTATTAGTTACTAGTTAAAAATACCACCTCCTTACAGTAATATCAAAGGGAAGATCACACATATAGTTATAGATAAAAGAAGACTCAACAGCACCTCATAAAACACGTTCCCTTGCCCGAGCTCCCTTGCCCATTAAAAATCTTTCCAATCTGCTCCTATTAACGCCACGTGTGCGTCTGTGTGTCTTTTAATCGCTGGTTGATTAAGGGCGAAGGAGGGGAGGGGTGGGTAGAGAGGGAGAGGGAAGGGAGAGGGGTTGGGGAAAGAATGTTGGAGGAGGGTGGGTAGTGAGGGAGAGGGAAGGGAGGGGAGAGGGTGGGGAAAAGAGGGAGAGGGGGTAGGGGAAAGAGAGTTGGAGGAGGGTGGGTAGAGAGGGAGAGGGGTGGGGATGGAGTTGGTAGTGGGGAGGGAAGAGAAGGGAGTTTTAGAGGAGAGTGGTAGGGGAGAGAGAAGGAGGGGAGAGGGAAAGGGAGTTGGAAAGGTTAGAGGAGGGAGAGGTGTTTGGTGGAGAGACAGAATTTGAAGGATGGTGGGGAGAGAGAGGAGAGAGGGAGAGGGGATGGGAATATAGTTGGAGGAGGGTGGGTAAAGAGGGAAAGGGAAAGGGAGGGGAGAGGGGGTGTGGGAAGAGAGTTGGAGGATGGTGGGTAAGAGGGAGAGGAAGAGTAGGATGAGGGTGGGTAGAAAGAGAGAGGTAAGGATGGAGAGAGAGAGGGAGAGGTGTTAGGGAAAGAGAGTTGGAGGAAGGTGGTTAGAGAGTGAGAGGGAAGGGATGATTAGAGAGGGATGAGGGGTGGAATGGTGGAGGGAAAGGCGAGAGAAAGGTTGTAGAGAGAGAGAGGGGGGGAAGTGGGAAATTC